TGTGGGGTAGGAGGGAGGGGTCTATTTAGATTCTTGAGATTTTGTTTGCAGAGTGATTACTTGCTTTTTCAGGTTTTTGTATTATATTGTTTAAATTTTTTATATTCTGTTGGCTCGTCCCACCAGACTCGATGTGGTCGGGGGGGGGACGTACTGGGAGAAAGTTGTCTTCACCACCATGGCGTGCCTTCTGGTGGCGCGTTTTCTTTGCTTGCATTACTATTTATTTCAGTTCATTTAAGGCTCGACATGAGGTACTCCGACGTATCAGTCTCAAAACGAAGCCCACAAATGCTCTACGGAGGTATTTGAAGAAAGTTATTGCTGGGGTACGTTCTCATTTCTGCTTATGTTTTGTTTTTATGTGACATTCGAGCCTTGTTCTGGTGGAGGTATTTCCACTACTAAGGTTAAATGGCTTTTGTCAACCTTAGTCTCTCGATGCGAGAGTCCAGAGCATGGCACGTTTTTCACGAGCCCCCCCCCCAACTGGCAGTTTGTATTTAGTCGCTAGAGGGGAGAGGGATATAGCCTATGAATTTTTTCCTGGCTGTTGATTTTTCCCTTCTCTTCTCGCGCGCACCGAATGACCTCTAGTCGGCGGCGCGGTGGAACTGCTATTTCTTATAGTAGATCAGAGGTGTATACCTCCCCCACCCCCTGCTCGACAGGAAAGTTTCTGCAAGGTTTGTAGGATAGCTGGGCGTCGTGGAATGGAGGTTGTACCGGAGTACAAAACTTGAGGGGTGGTCGTATTTGGCGAAAACACTCCCCAGCGCCAAGGCATGTCTTGGCCCCAGAGGCTCCGTAGGTTGTGCTGCTTTTTCAGGCAATGCCATAGAGTTTTCGAAGGGAACAGAGAAGTGAAGAAGAGCAGTTCTTTGGGGAGTCATAGTGTAGTTAATCTCCGCTATGCCTCCATTTTACGTTGGAACATCACTAAGATATTGCGACTATCTGAATCGGCTTCTGATTTTTTTGCCACTCTCTCAACTGTTCTTTCATTTCTTTCATCCCTGTCTTATCATTTTGCTCTTTTGCTTCCTGTATTTCTTACCTATCCTTTAATGCCGGCGCTCTGACTCCTAGTCTCTTTCGCTGCCTATCACTGAATCTCATTCATTTTCTTTTAGTATAAGTTATCGTAGCTACACACACATGTCCTTGGACTTCGTATTTCTTGTCCTGTCACTTTGAGGTTTTATTTCGAAAAGGCTTTAAAATTAAATACCTCTGTTTATGTTTCAGACTGAACCGAATCCGTGGGTACCTACAGTATATTCAGAGAAGGACTTGAGAAAGAAACTGCGACGCTTTGTAGTGGCAATGATGATTAAAGCATGTAAAAATCAAGGAGTAGAAGACTGTGGTGTGGTTTGGTTGTCATCTAAGCCCTGTGAAGTTTCCTTGCCGATTGTAAACTTGGGTTTTTTTGCAGAACTTGACAAATCACACGAGGCCGCCATCCGATTCATTGACCGATTAAATGAGGAAATTGTTGAATCGTTGAGTATTCTTGGCAATTTTTCCTCTGATCTTATACGATGTGCTAGAACTAATTGCCAGAAGGTTAGTTCTCGTTTCATCGAAGTTTGGTGAAGATTTGAAACAGCATTTACTGGGTTAGTGGATCACCTTCAATTTAGGCATTTGTCCCAAATCACGTGGCTCATACACTGGTTTCCAGAGTCAAAGGCGACTACACTCATTGTCAGGGGAGTTCTGTTGTAGTGCTTCTATTCATCCTTAGTGGCGCCACTTCCTTTGTAGCCCTGAGTTGCTTTTGCTCTTTGTAAATCAATATTTTCAGGTTCCCGACTGTCCTCATGTCCTTGGAACTCATGATGATGTCAATTATCTTATTGTGGAAGGTGGAAGTTATTCTCAAGATCTTGAAATGCCAAGTGAAGTGCAGTCCACCAGCAAGGTACTGAATGTTCCGAATGCTGTGAGGGTGCCAAAATGTGATAGTAAAAGTACGAAACCTCGTAAAGCACTTTCATTATGCTCTGTTTCGGAGAGATACCCTTACTCGTGTCTTTGAACAACATAACTCCTAATTGCTGACACTACAGCACGTCAGTGGCAGAGTTCTTGGGGGTTATAGGGTTAAATATATTTCTAGCAGCAGGATCGTTCATATAGGTGGAGCACCATAGAATTGATCGAACTGTTCTGAAATTTTCAGCTCTTGTGCTTGTGCTATTTCCATAATGGGATTTTCGAGTTCATGTTCGACGTTATCCATATGAAGTGGAACATCTTTCACAACTGCTTAATTCATGTATGTTTTTTGGCAATTCTGGGGTTTTTCTGTTACTTGAAAAATTTTAACTGCATTGGATGAGAATCTTCATTCTTTTTATGTGATGATCAGGCTACTGATGTCTGTTCGAAGTGTTGGGCGTTGAGAGTTAGAACGCATTCATACTTTGCGGTCCGATCGCTCGGATCGTGCGTTCGGATTGCGAACTATGAATGAGCTCTTACTTCCATGTTGCGGCCACGCGCACAAACGAGGAGTGTATTCCCTAATGGTTTGACTAGAAGCAGCACTCCCTTATTGGGCCAACTAAGTCCTGTTGCGAATGACGCGCATGTGAACCCACCTCCCGCTCATCTTTCAACGCCCCTGCAGAAACGCGAATGATACGCATGTGAACCCCCCTCCAGCGCCTCTTTTCAACGTCCTCGCAGAGCACGGGAGGAACCTCCCAGACTTTGAAGGCAAGAATCGTGTCTGATGCGTGACGGTATCAAATAGACCAGCTTGCTTGCTCAGCGGGACTTCTGCCTCATAAAGCGCAGTTTCTTCTGCTGAAGACAATCCGCGATTGCATAGTGTGGACAGCTGCGATCAGTTACAAACCTATAGTCGCTGAGTCACCGTATAGGCAAGAAATAAAGCAAAAACAGTTATGGCGAGCACCCTAAGAAATGACCTGGCAGCCCCTCTGAACGAGTTATCCGGGCCTGCTCGCTTTTATGTCGGCAAAACGATGTCCAACCACTTCTGGCTCACTTTGTTCGCGTCATTTAATACTGTTACCATCTGAATCTAAAAGAAAAGGAAAACAGTCTGGAAGCCGAACTTGAAATAGGAAATGGAGTTTTGGTGGGCGAGGAAACTAGGGAGGCGTCAGAACTAATACTCATGAGGGCCGCAGCGTCTTTGTTACATGCCTTGAAACCTCGTGTGGGACACAGTTGGTTCAGCGCGGGTACTGTCTTTGATGTGCTCAAGCTGCTCACATACTTCAAAAGAGGATTACTTCAAAGGAGGATCAACTCTATTCAATTGTGGGAAAAGTCGTGCCCCAGGCGGGAGTCGAACCCGCACCTCACGCTTTCCGGGCGAGTGCGCTATCCGTTACGCCACCAGGGCCGCTTTTACCCTCTCAGCTTAACGGCTTATGCCGTAACCTTACAGCACTCACACGTTTAACTTGGTGAGATATCTAACGATTACGGCTGACCGGCTCACCAAGTTAAACGTGTGAGTGCTGTAAGGTTACGGCATAAGCCGTTAAGCTGAGAGGGTAAAAGCGGCCCTGGTGGCGTATAGCGCACTCGCCCGGAAAGCGTGAGGTGCGGGTTCGACTCCCGCCTGGGGCACGACTTTTGCCCACAACTCAGCATTCTTGTGATAACATTCGGAACGCGTACTGCGGCGTTAAACAGCAGTTATCATAACAAAACAGCTTCAAAAAATTATACACTGTTTGTTTATTCCGTTGAACCTTCAGGTCAAGGAAGTACTAAAGAACAAAAAGTTCAAGGATAGCGATGAAGTAATTGAAGAGCTTCCATCTGATGTGATTAGGGTGAGGTTTTTTTATAGCCGAATAAAGAGAAATTATGCAGACTTTCATTTAGAGTTTGGTTCATTTCTACATGGCTCGATATTTCTGTTTGTGGGTCTTTGGTGATAAAGAATTGTGGTCCAAGAATGGCTGCACACTTTTCCAAGTCTTATTCCGCATGGACGCACAAATAGCCTAACTTATGCTGAATCTCATCACTTTTTTTCGTGGACTCAATTGTAGGTGCTGTTACTCGAAGTTTAACTTTTGTTGTCTCTTTGACTCTAACTTTCGCTTGTAAAAAATTTTAAATCTCTCTTTTCGTTATGAATTTCACTGTTATTGGTTGGAGCATACATGCTCTATTTTGTTCTCTAATCTCTCCTCGCTATTTGTTCGCATTTCCGTGGTTGTTCAGAGCTTTTTTCTTTATAAACCTTCAGCTCAATATTATACTTTTGGGGTGACAAAGTCCTTTTACTTCTATTCTAACGCTCCTTTCCAACCTACAATTTGTCACAGGCATTCCACGAACCATAGTCATTCGCCGGACAACTGGTCATTTCTGTTGAGCTAGTGTACATATAATCTCATCTCTTTGTATTGAATTCATTCACATGTTGTCATATTTGTTCTGTTGTCTTATAATTGCTCCATAAAGCTGCTATACCAGTAATCTTTGGCATTACAAAGCGAACAAGTTGTTGTTTTTGGACGTTGCGGCATTATGGTTGTACAGTAACTCGGTCCTTAAAGGCCCAGTTAAGTTGCCCGATAGCTAAAAGTCCTTGCTAGAGTGCGCAGGTCAACACCCGCCTAGGATGTGCCGCTCTAGTAAAATTGTGTGGATAAGTCCGTAAAATTGTAGCTATGTTTCAGAGAGAGGGAGAGAGAGAGAGAGAGAGAGAGAGAATTTTGTCTTCTCTTTGTGAGATCGGGGGGTGAATCGCTCAGCCTGGACCTGGAAGGGGAAGAGTCCTGGATAAGTGAATCGCTTGGCCCACCACGAAGATCCGGAAGATATTGCAGTAACTTTCCTGACCACATAATGGAGGAGTGCTTTCTGAACGCTGTGCAGACAGGGTACAGTATGGTTGAACGGCAGTGCCGTAGGCCCTCTCCTCAGCGAGCAGGGACACCCTACCACCCTTCTCAATTGCGTCTGCCGTAGGGAAGGACAATACATAAATTCATTGAGATCACGTATGAATGTGATGCTGACTGAGGGCATCGTATTATACTCTACTTCGCCACGAAGGAAGGGGCGTGTCAGGCAGTATGAGTGTGCCACGGTGCCAAACCGTTCTCTGCCAGTTGTTGAAGCGGGTATGCGACAACAACTGGTAGAAAACGAGTGATACGAACGATATGATACAGTCTTGTCACTTGCTCGCTTCAACAAGCTGGTGGAGAACGGGTTTGGCACCGCGCCAAACTCATCCCGCCTGACACGCCCACAGCGAATTAGACCAATGTCAACGAGCACGAACTCATGTAAGCATGCACTCTCTTCGTCGTACAATGCATGAACCTAAAGTGCCATCATTTGGGGCCCTTCTGACGGGGTTTTTTCCCTTGGTAGCTGCACCATTTGACACTCATTGTTTCACAGTTTACCTCCCTTACTCTCATTTAACCTTCGTGCACTGTATCACAAAACACAGCAGGTCGGCTACCGCAACGGCTACACACGATTACTTGGTAAGGTTTTTATTCAAAGATCTTGATATGGAGCATCACGGAAAGGGTGTGCAGGCTGAATGTTTCTGATTGGAGTGGAGTCGATTCCGTTGGTATGTACAGAGTCGTAGATCATGGCACATGGAATGGCATAGAGCGAAGCATGCACGATATAGAACAACTGAAAAAAGAAACTTTTATGGAACGTTTTCATAACATCCTTAAAAAATCTGCCTGTCGTGAGGCTGGGGAGCAAAGCACCTTACGTGGTCGCTTGCTAGATCCATGAAATTTGCACTCTCTCATTGTCAAGAGCTTCAGTTCTCAGCGGCAACTACAAGAAAGAGGTCTGGGCACTGTCGAAGGCAAAATTTTGTAATTTGACTCTAGAATGGTGTGGATGCTGGTGAAAAGGAGTGAAGCGAAACTACGGATCGACAACTGAAATGAGGCTAATGCCGTTTGGACTCCAGAAATTTCGTCTTCGAGCTCATTTTCAAATTGCCTAAGTCACCAAATC